TGCAACTTGAGGCCATTTCCTCTCATGCTATCCCTTGTTACGGGGGAGAAGAGACCAACCCCCACCTCACTACACCCCCCTTCCAGGCAGCTGTAGAGCCATAAGGCCTCCCCTCAGCCTCCTCTTCTCCAGACTAAACACCCCCAGGTCCCTCAGCCGCTCCTCACCAGACCTGTTCTCCAGACCCTTCACCAGCTCCGCTGCCCTTCTCTGGACACGCTCCAGCACCTCCATGTCCTTCTTGCAGCGAGGGGCCCAAAACTGCCCACGGGGTTCGAGGGGCGGCCTCACCAGTGCCCAGTCCAGGGGCACGATCCCCTCCCTGCTCCCGCTGGCCACACCATGGCTGACACAGGCCAGGATGCTGCTGGCCTTCTTGCCCACCTGGGCACACGGCTGGCTCGTGTCCAGCCGGCTCTCGACCAGCACCCCCAGGGCCTTTCCCGCTGGGCAGCTCTCCAGCCACGCCTGGGCCTGTGTTACTCTAACCATAACGCTGTGGCTAAAGCTGCACATGTTTTACTTGTAGCAAGAACCCTGGAGTTAAAACTACATAGAGAAGCTCAGTGAAGCATTAACGTGGTTGTTTGTGTCTGCTTGGGTTTTATGTGTTTATAATTTACTTGCAAGGTCCCTGAACCTGTTCTTATAGATCTTTACTTGTTTGAGTTTGCTTTGGAAGTGCAGCAACTAAAAAAAGCGCCTGGTTTTGATGATGTTGGCTGGAGTAACTGCTGGCTGATGCTTACCCCAGAAAGAGACTGAAGAAGAAAAACAGGGCATGACAGCAGCTTGATTCATAAGATATGGAAATCTCTGAAATGTCTTTGTCAGAGCAAATCTTACAGGAGGACATTCCCAGGCATTGTGTCGCTACACCTGCCAGAATAACAACAGCAGTGGAATGAAGTGTAATAGTAAAAAAAACACAGGGCAATAGCTAATAGCAAGAACTGTTGCTATCACCTGGAGCTCCTCAAGTGGAAAGACAGAGCAGAGTAAAGGAGTTTTTCTATGTACAGAGCTCATCTCGTGGGGCCAGTGACCCCTCTGTGCCATGCAAGCATGCCATCCTGAGAGAAGGAAGGAAGGGCAGAGAGACCTCCGGTAGGTGCGAGGCTTGCTTGTGACAAATTCTAGCTAGGTACATGTAAAGCAGGCTGAATCTGAAAAGGAACGGAGAAGGACTACCAGGAGGGTCAGGGAATGGAGAACCTGTCCTACAAGAGAAGGTGAAAAAAGCCGTGCCTAGATGAAGAGCAAAGGCTGCAAATGGTGAGACTCTCCGCTACAGCACAATCATGGAGGATTCCCACAAGCTTTTAAATTAAACAACAGTGCTGATATGAAGAAAAAAATGGAACAAGTTCAGTCTGAACATATTTAGGCTTGAGATTAGATGGATTTTGATCATTAGGATCACAGGATTCTGGAGCAGCGATCCTGTGACAACAGTGAGGTGCAGATCCCAACTAGCTCTATGAAGAAACTTGAGAAATGAATTTAGAAAATGACATGAAGGTTCCTGATGGGCAACATGCTCAACAGCACTTGGATGACCCTCACTCAAAGCTGAAGAGCGTTATGCTGGATCATAAAATCTTTCTCCCTCCAGACATAATTTTTATGTGAAGTTTAATGTGCATTGAAAAGTATCTGCTTTAACTGAAACTGTAAGGCATACTTTGATCCCAGATACTTTACATCATCCTTATAGATTGGAACATAGATAGTTAAAAAAACTAAAAGCATAGTGAATCTTTATTCCGTCAGAACAAACATACGAGCGTACATTTCTTAGGGGAGGTGGTGTGTGCTCACGTGTCCTCGCACACATGTGCACACGCACACACAGAAACCTGGAAGCCCTTCTCTGTTTTCAGGAACATTTACCAAGAAAAATTTAAAGCTGACTGAACTGAATAAATGATTCATTTGACATGTCTTCAGTTTGTAGCACTTAAAGTGATATCATTGGCTCAAGAGAGTGCTTTCACACCTCTGGGCCAGCAGGTCACAGGTTCAGGTCCTGGCTGGGGAACCTGGAATCCCTCCATTTTTAAATACTTGTGTATTGTGTTGGCCAGATTTACTACTGAAGGTGTTTGCTTATTTCCCAAGTTGGGGGCATTCTGTAGATTTGTAACACGTGTTCCAGAAGACCTGGGGATGTGAAAAGCATTATCACTGGAAGACTTTCACCATGAAATGGGCTGGATCAGAGAATGGATCATTCACTCATCTGTGGTTTCCTTTTACCTTCTTTATGCTCCCCTTGTATTTGAGGATATAGATGCTGCACTTAGAAAGAAGAAATTACAGGCCTACCACCATAAGTGATACATTTGCAAGTCCCTTCTAAATCAAATTCATGCATTAATAAAAATAATCTCTAACTTTTGTGTCCCAGCTTGTCTTGAAAGCACTTCAGTTTTTCATTACAAGATTTAAATGTCCTGTTTCATTAGCATCCAGCGTAAAACCAGCAGGAAGATGGAGAACTCCTCTAAGGATTGATGCACATGTATGAAAAAGAAATCCATCCCTTCATCAGCATGAAAACAAAATTTATGTAGTTGCTAAGATTTCTAAAAACTTAATGGGTGCTTGATGAAACAAACCCCATGGAAAACGACACTAAACATTCAGAGTCTGAGACAAAAATAAGTGGCACTTGTTGAAGTATTGCAAGTGAACAGCAACACCTTAACAACAGCAAGATACATAAGTATTTTGATGACAACATTAAGGAACAAACTCAAAATACTGCTTCAAAATCCTGATCAAAATAGTGCAAACATGAACTGTAGTGATGTGACTGAGTACATCTTACTTGTACAAACCATTTTGTGGGGCAGGCCTTCTTGTCATTAAAAGAAGGAAGCACAGATAGATTGTTTTCAGTTACATTGGTTCTAACATTATGATCTTCTGATACCCTCATATTGCAGATAAAGGCTGTCACAGCTTGCATCCAATACCAGAATGTTAACTACTGAAATTTCTTCTCTCTGGGCTCATTGTGGTATTAGGCTGTACTTGCCCAAAGAGCTTTTAGTAATTATCCTTAAGAAACCTCTGTGTTATTTGAGGTTTGTCATTTGCAATCTGTATTAGCTGACCAGCTGAGGAAAACCAGAAAAATCAGATACTTTTGGTTTAGGTAACAAAAGCAAAACATCCTTTCTTCATTGCACTCTCCCCAAGAAAAAGCAGTTGGATGACCTGCCTTCACAAGGTCTGCCGCCTCGGTCAGTTTACTGCTCGTGCCTCAGGACCCAACTGTCTCCATCAAGAGTCCGTGCTCTAGTAACTGGCAGCAGGACAGGCACCAGTGCGTTCAGCGGCTGGGCCAAAGCATCCCTGCCAGGCAACAGAGACTGAAAAAATCTGGAATCTAAACTGAGGCCCTATACACCTGAACATGGAGCACCTGACTTAGAAACCTGCTGAGCCTCCAGAAGCTCCTATGAGACCCGTGAAGGACCGGAGTGGATTTTAGACAAGGTGTCTGCTACAGGGTACAGGAAATTGGAAGGGTGGAGATAGAAGGAACAGCTAGAAAATGTCGAGTACGGTGGCGTGCCAGGGTCAGTGTTCAGTTTAGGGAGGGTGCCTCTTGTTGTTGTTT